TGACCCCTCCAATGTCCGGGCCTCGTTTCTGGAAGGCGGGGCTAGCGGGAGACTGCCCCACCAGTATCACTCGGACATTGCGAGCGTGAGTGGCCGTTGGTAGCAGGAAATGGAGGCTTTCACGGTTGACTGCACAAATCAATGGGCACAGCGATCCTGTGGACCGTCACCACTGCACACCACCCTCTGCACATTGGGAGTCTAGGTATCAAGGACCACGGCCTTCTTCTTTGCACAACTTCATGTGCCGAAAGAGAGAGAGACAGAGAGAACACTCGCCTGGCTTTCCAAGCGCCAGATGCAGATTATGCCTTACTCATGTAGATTGGACAGAATTTGCAATAATATTGGGGGGGGGGGTTTAGTATTTTATGACTTATAATAACTATATTGTATGCACTGAATGAATTGTTTTTTACTTCTTTGAACGGAGAGTGACGGGCAGGGATGCCAGAGGGGGTCGTAGCTTGTGGTTTTTATCAAGGAAATTTCTGGTACTGCTTAATAATGAATTGAGGTCTTTCTGCACTTTACGTGTTCTGATTGCTTTTCCTGTGGAAATTCTTATTGCTTTCCTCTAATTTCCATGGGAAAAAAGATATTGTAGTGGCACTAATCAATGTTTGCCAGGTGCGTTCCCACTATAGGTGAAAAGGCTCCCTGTAAATGGTACTAGCAAGTGGAAATGTAGGTGACTGCTTTCTTTAGACAACTGTAGGGAAACTTTCCATAATCAGGTCTATGAATATGAGTCTCAAACCTCATTTGGAAGGAAGTCTTAAGAAATATTTGCAACAGAGTTTGCACACTGTAAAAGATGCAGTGAAAGACCAAAATGGACCTTGTTGCCACCACTTAACCCTATGTAGCTGCTGCCTGTAATGCTAAACCTGATTTTAATGGTTATCTCAAAGCAAAGACTATTTTAGTATAAACTGCCACTAAAGGACACTTTATTTATAGCAAACGTCTTATTTTTAGAACCTGTACACTTATAGTGCATAAGAAATTAAACTGATCTACTAAAAAGTTTATGGTAGAGAATGGGAAGCAGTTCGTGGAGGCGTAGCTCCAGGCCCTGGTTCGTTTGACAGAGCATTCGTTTAATTTGACAAGACAGCCCTGTTGTTGTTATTTCCAGAAGGATGTTGCTGACGTGGCTCTCCACGCACCCCTTGAAGAGCTTCTCGGGTACCTGCCGTGACATCCGCCTCCTTGACTTAAGTTCACGATTGTCTGCCGCGAGCGCTTTGAGTCGGGCTATTTTCAAAACTCTGTATTTGGGCGATCCCGGAAAGAGTTCATGTGATGTCTTGGTGGGGCAAACAGTTGTGTTCTTATATGGCGAAAGGTCTAGAAATCGGATTACGTTGTTTCTGTCAAATGACCTGGTATAAATTTATGAAGGACAATACGAAGTGCCTCACTGATGTTTCCAAACGTGACTTTATCGGTAGGAGAAAAACATTCCCATTGCATATATTGTGAATTACTTGTACTGTAATTTTTTTTTTATTTATGTACAATGTACAAACCCTTTAGGGTGGATGCAAACCACTCTTAAGAAAGGCATTAACGATTACCACGGTGGTTTTTTTATATATGCAGAACAGGGGTGAGATGTAGGTTTGACACTTTTTGTGGATATTCCTTTTCTGTGATGAAGAAGACACAAACACAAAGGGAAGGTTAGAAAGGTGAGAGCTTAGCGATAAAATTATGAAATAATAATCTGCTACACATCAGAATTCATTTCAATCACTTCCAGTGACATCTCAACAGCCTTTCGTGCCTGCTGAAATAGCTGCTGATATTTCTCTGATTTTTGGAAAAACAGGGCTGGATTAGTACAGCTAGTGCCTTTTCTCAATGTTGAGTTGTGCATTATTCAGGAAACCAAATATTTTTCTTTTGAAACATAGCCTGTACTCCAGTTTGTGCAAAACAGAGGTCCTGATATTCCCAGAGATCTTGTATCACGCATGCTCCCTTCAGAGGGGGTCTCTTCATTACGTTGTAAAGCAAAGCACTTGTGTTAGAAGTTCAGGACCTCGGGCTATGAAGGGTTTCACCACAAATGGAAAACTAACTTTGTTTAATCTGTGCCAGAGTTATTCAGATGAGGACTTGCAGTCTTTCCGTTTACATTGAGACCCAACCCACAATCCATCCCACTGGACATTTTTTTCTCCCATGGAATTGTGCGTCCCGTTTTTTGTTTCCCCCGCTTGAACTCAAATGGCCACACACTTCGATAGTATTACCCTTGGAAGATGCCTTTCAGCTGCAGCGGTCTACGCTGGAGTGAAGAATGCCCGAGGGACAAGGACAACAACAGGCCCCACTTCCACAGAGACACCCCACACCCACAGACCACACTGGAATAGCAGACTTTCTCACTCTTTTGGATTCCACAAGGGGAAAAATGGCAATGCAACATTCAGTATTGTCAGTATTGTATTATGCACAAAGGATACTGAAGCATTTGTTTTAAATTTTGTGCCTTTATAGCGACCAGTTATCTGTAAATATAGAGCAGATACAGATTGTATTTTGGGAGGGAAGGGATCCTTTTTAGTGATTTTTTTTTAAAAATAAATAAATAAATAAATAAAATATGGAATTAAACATTTAAAAATGGAGAATTTCAAACTAATCAAATGTTACATGAAAGAATAAATTTATATAACCCTTGTTACATTGCTGATTAAATGAAGTCTGGTTTTGTTTGTAGATATGCTACTAGCCAACATCATCTTTGTTCTTAACAGGAATTATTGCCCTCAAGACAACAAAAGTTATGCCTTTTACTTTTACCTTAAGCTAGAACAGGAACTGTAAAGGGTTACTGTTATAGGAAGAGCAGTGGGTTCTAAATCTGCATTTTTAAATTTTATTTTTCTGGATTAAGGCATGTATCTTGTGAACCATGATCATGTCACGATTTTTCTTCTGCAGTAGTGATGTGGGGTCTTCCCTTTTAGGTGAGCAGTCTACTGCTGCCAAAACAGCTGGAGATACTACGAGATCCCAAATTCCCAAATGCAGACATAGGGATTGCCTCTCTCCTTCCCCAAAACCACCTTCCCCTGGAGAGAAGCCTTGCCAGGGTGGCAATTCAAGCCTCATCCTTAACGTGCCTGTTTTGAGAAAGGCAATTCGTTGTGTTTCACACAACATAGCAAAACTTAAAATACAAGCGGTGTTTTAGCTATCTAAGCTGAATGTTTTTAAGAAATGATTTTCTGAACTCCACTGGAGTTTGGATCTCCACTGATTCTTGGGCAAAGATTCTGATGCCCTTTGGATGAGCTAATTAAAGTTTCCTTGGGACGATTTTTCCCAGCCTCTTCCTCTGTTTCTTGCGTTGAAACACAGAAATGGCATTTGCACTGTGGCGATAAAGGGATGGATTTTACTCCAGGATTCTGGTGTGGTCAGAGCACGGAGGCAACCCTGCTGACTCTTTGTGCTGATCCTGAAACCACGTGGCCTAAGAAAGACCAGATGTCAATTCAAGCCGTTTTTCTCAACCAGTGATATGCATAACCTTATTAATTTGCACAGTAGTCTAGGTGGGATGTGACTGCCCTTCCGTAACTGGGAAAGTCCACAGGAGAGAAGAAAGCAGGAAACACGGGGAAAGCCGCCAGTGTCCAATCCAGTAGGCTGAGGAAGGGGGAACATGGCGGAGTGGTTCCTCTGCCAAGGCTAGAGACGCCTGTAGCCAACGTCGCTTCAGCCTCAGAAAGGTCTCACTGATTATTTTCAAGTTAATAGCAATGTGATCAGCAGCATTTAATGTCCTTAAAACTTACCATAAGCAGTAGTTATTATTTCTAAAAACCTGAAGAGAAACACGCATGCCCAAAGACCCAATCTACTTGTCCTTGGAACAGGGAGTAGGTTTCCTCCTCTCTTTCTGGGAACAAGATTCCTTGATGGAATAATTGGTCAGACTTGGGATACTTTATTTCAGTGATTCTCAGCTTTTCAAATCCTTTTCGTCTTGACTGGCAGAGACTGAATTAGGAGAAATAGAAAAAGTTCATGGAATTAGCGTGCGGTATATGATCTTATAGTACACAGTTATGCCTGAGATCTGATGGACGTCTCACTGAAAGAGCATATTCTGAGACAACGCCGTACCAAGGAAAGCTAGCGGTCCTTCATCCTGCTTGGTAGAACTTTGACAATTTTACCATCGCCTCTAACAATATTCCTTGACGAGACTAATGAAATCCAGCCAGTCAGAGTAGATAGAGGAGTTACATGTGTACAACCGCGTGGCTTGTAAGGATTGGCATGTAGAATGTAAGAGGTCCTCTATTCTGTAGCTCTTTGTTCACCTGCTAGTTCTCCCACTGTCTTGTCTTGTCTTGTCTTAAAAAATAATTTTATTAAAGATTACAGTTAGGAAAAATGCAAACTAATACAAACTACAAAATACTGTATATAAAAATGAAAAATAAAAATAGTGCAGAAAAGAAAAAAAGAAAAATATAAGGTGGTAACTTGCCCCTTCATCACGACAAGTACAAACAATTTTGGTAACTTAAAATACAACAAATGCTCTCTTCTTCCCATAACTAATCTCTCAACTATAAATAAAATCTTAAAGCCTCATCATTCATTCCCAATCAGCAAAAGTCCATTAAGGGCTACCAGAGA